GAAGCATTATAATTGATATTTGTTTTTTTGTGTTGTTTTTTTCTTTTGGTATTTGCTTCCAAATGGTCTTGGCAGCAATTTAATCAATTACTCTTTGTAAGCACCTGAAAAGCTTAAAATTAGAAGTATTTCATGTCTACTGCATTTTCAGAACACAGACATTTATGAACATCCTATCTGAGCCCCAACAGAAACGGTCTGCTCCCCAAATTTTACAGCCTCCAGACATTTTCTAACCGTCAGGCCATCATGGCCCAAATATTTCCACTCCTGTGCGTCTCTCTCTCTCACCTTCATCTGTTCCTACTTGTTCACTTCATTTCCTCATTAAGATGCCTTTTTGTCTCACTTTCTGTGCATTGCTCACTTGTGCCTTCGCTTTGCTACTCTCCTCTGCCACCTTTCACGGTTTTCCTAAAGGATTCACACCGAAATTGAGGGAAAACATCCAAGCGTGAAATAGTCCAGAGAGGGTTCTTGACGCTGACTTGTTATTTCATTTTCAGGATGAAACAAGGGCATTAATACTTAAAAAGCCTGCCTGCCTGCCTTGATGGAAAACACTAAGGAGAGTCATGTCTCCATCTTTTCCTGGATTTCTCTTTCGTTTGTGTATTTGCTTGTTTATTCTGTTCCTAACAATCTAATTTACTAGCTTTCTTATACAAATGCAATTGGACTTATTTTTGCCTGCGTGATGTGTTACTGAATTGTTCATGGTTAAAGAAAATTAGAGACCAAAGACAACGAAAATATGCCAAGCGCGAGAAGAAAGAGAAACAAAAAGCGATTGTGGTTTGATGGAGAGAAATATTTTGTTTACTCCAAAGCCGAGCACAATTAACTGTGGCACTGCCAGGCATAGCGGATGCTTAGGCATGCTTATTAGCCCAATGAGAGATGAGTACTTCCTGCTTCTCTGCTAGTGGCAGAGAAGCAGGAAGACATATTATCACAAGGATAGGCAAACATGGGGCATAGACCCCCAGGGAAATGATGTGCGGAAAAAAGTAAAAGAACAAAGATTTGCCAACTTCTTCGACATCTTTACCCTGGACACAATTTGTTCCAACTGCTGCCATCAGGCTGCAGATAAAGGAGCACTAAAGCAAGGACAAACAGACTGAAGAACAGTTTATACTCGGTAGCCATAAGGGCATT